AGGCAGAATAATTAAACAGTCTCAGCATTTGGAGATTCATGGAAAGCGGTGATGAAGATATTGTCATTGAACTACATCATTTCAGAAGATCACAGGATTTTCCAGGTCCAAACCCTAGCACCACAGGGGACTGTCTCATCAGGTGCTGAACTTCACGTGTATTCCAATGACCGAGGCAAGTTTTTGTGCTGAATGAGAACAAGGGGTTTTTTTTTTGTTCTGCGATGATTTTGGTGCTTGGGCACTATGTATAGTACAGTCATCAGCCTCTGACATCAAAGGCTAGGTTGCCTCAAAGCCTTTACAGAGAAGGCTTTGAAAATTCAGAAAGTCCAGAGGAATGCTGCAAGCACAAACTAGGGTCATCTCAAAAGTGACTGAAGTTATGGGGTCCAATTAATCTATGCCATGAAATCCCACATATCTTCAAGGTAGATAGTTCATCTTGTGCAAGGGACGCATCCAAGAAATGTTATGAAAATCTACAGGTAGGAGGTATATCCAGTCGAAGAAGCAGACAACAGCTCTAAGGTTGTTATTAATGTCAACCAACAGCAGCTTTTGGAAGAGATGTGGAGCGTATGGGGAATGCTGGTTGTTCTACATCCTCGGTTCATACTGTTTTGTACTGCACTGCCAGCTGAGAGCGCCTCTAGAGATTGACTGATCCCTTTCTCCAATGTGATTACAATAAGTTAAGGGTGTTTCACGTGTGACAGGTCAGGTGTCTCCTCAAATATCCATGTTTGCCTGGTATGTTTTCCCAGCTTTGTTTAGTAGCAACACTTGAATTTTCATTTGTGTCCACAGTGGGTGTCTTGGGAAGCCCTAATGCAGACATGTAACATGGACCCTTCTCCAGCCACCTTCCACTCCAGATGCCTCACCAAAATCTGAGCCACATCAACTTTGACACATTTAATATCCTTCTAGCAAATTCAACACAGAACAGACAATAGCCCTAGAAGCCGAGTAAGTCATATCCTACCCTATCATCTCAAAAGAGCACACACTGGTTAGAAAACATGCCCCAATGAATCAGCTTATGCTAAGATGCCAGGATTATACCTAACAACTCTGAAATATTATGTTGCCTGCCACATTCCTATGAGACTTTATATTGAATATTGAGCGGTTGTGCTGCTACTATAAAGGCCCTTTATACATTTTACCTGCTCTAGAATGGGTACTCCAGGCAAGGGCCATAAAAGAAAATTGTCAAGGCGTTACTCAGGTATCAATATTTCTATCACGCATCATTCATCTGTATGAGTAGCCTTATCCCAATTTCTATTCCTCAACCTTTCTGTAACTGAGGAATTTCCAACCCTCAACATTTTTCATGAGTCCTAAAAGGTGATCAATACCTTTGCTGGTTTTCAGTGAAATACGCAAGAACCCTTACAGCAGAAGTTAGGTACGTTTTCAAGATAGGCAATACTTTATCATTAACATCATGGATGATGGTATTGATCTTTTAGTCATCAAGTAAAACCCTCCATCTTATATCCTTGGGAAACATCTACCACTGACAAGCCAAACATGCAGTTCTGTGGGCTATATTGAATCCCAGATAAGAAATATTTTTGCAGATAGATTTTCTAGAGCTCTGTATTGTAGAAGACCATTTATTATCCCTAGGAAGAGCCACCCTAAATTTGCCTGTATAGTCAACACGGAATGGCTGTAGCAAATCCTGTATTTGCACATCAGTGTAAAACTTTTGAGACTATTCACTGTCGTAAGCATTTTTATCCAAGTTGAGTTTTCACATAAGAAGCATGTACAGGCACTTATCTTGCATCAGGTGTTGCAATTCACTGGCAAATGTACATGAAAAATTCAAAGTGTTTAGTTTTGTCTGTTTGGTTTTTTACTTTACATCAATTCTCAACCAGTAGTGCCTTAGAGCTCATAAGCCATCAGCAACTCCATCCTTCTAAGAAGAGTTTTAAAAAATAGCAATATTAAAGCTCAGTTTTACCTAGTGTTCCTGATGATACTGCTTCACTAAAAAACATTACTTTAGTCCAGGCTTAACTGAAGACTGTTTTCCTGTATTCTTTCACATTAATTGTAGGTATTTGAAATAATATTCTTAATTAAATCTAATTCAGCTATGCTTCTGAAAAAGGAGTCTTTCTTTTTTCTTTTAGTTTATAGTCAGAACCTAATTTTAGAAGTCCTAAATAGGATCCTTCAGTAGTCAATGGACCTCCATAGGTCAGCTCATTCCAGTTCAAGATACATGTCCAAGACAGATGGGATAAATAGCCCTCTGGACACATATATCTCTTTCAAGTGACTATGTGCAGCCGGCTTAGTTTTTAGGTAGATAAAATAAGGCAAAATTAAACTCACCATAACATTGGATCAAGATACATCATGCACAACACTGACACAGGGTTTTTCTAGATTGCCTGCTTGAGCAGTTTGTAGGTTGTATCCTTATTTGGTTTGTATATAAGGGTTTTAAACATTTTTGAAACAATTACACAATCTCAAAATCTTCTGTTTGGAATAATAAAAGTAAGAATTAAAAAAACCATAAAGTATACTTATAATTAAGCTTAAATTGAATACATGTCAAAGCAGAACTTTGTTGTATGTATGCTTGTCCTTAGGCAGCTGAGCAGCCTATTGATAGGGAGAGGTTGATGTAGGTCTATCTGTAAAGCTAAGGCTGCCCTTAAGAACTTTCTAGTTTTAGTCAAAACTTTTTGTAGTTTTGTTGGTATGTATAGTCAGAGGCAGCTGTAACACACACTTTCTAAATGGTTGGACAATGAATTCACCTTTTAATTGAGCTGGATTTTACGTGTCTAGAAAGGAAAAAGAAGAACATGTAAAGAAGTTTTACACAGTGCAATTGTTTTTGGTAGTTGTAAGAGGGACCACGAGTCAGACATTTCTCAAGTTTCTATCTGTACCGTAAGAAACACTTGCCTTTATGCCCGAGCTTTGAATGAAGCAAGTAAATCTTATTCAAATGGGCAGGCATCCTAACATATTTGAAAATGCCTGTATGAGTGACAAATATTTCTGTGAGAAAACAGGCCCTTCTTTCAGAGTGCTTTTAATTTAAGAATTAAAGTGTCTCTAAAAACCTGGGGAAAAAACAGGACTTCCATTTCTGTGAAAGCATGTTTAATTTTGAAACATACAAAGATGTAAGAATTCAAGAGAAAATGGTAGCTAGTTTAAATATGAATTGTATTAATGAGAAGAAGGCAAGAATCTTGTCTTCTATGTGGTTATGACTCATACCTTCCAATTATAGCATGCATACATCATCCTTCAGTAAAAAAGAATATCAGGCATCCTCTGGATGGAAGATATTCAGATACTTGGTGAACCAGGGGCTGATTAACAGGCACCAGACCTCAACTTGTGAAAAAAACAGTGAACCTGAGTCTTTTCTCATTTACCCTGCTGTAAAACACAAATAATTCTGCTGCTGTCAATGAAGTTACTTTATTGTTGAAACCATTATGAGGGCAGAATCAACCAAAAAATGTCTATGAATTCCAGTTTCTGACTTCATTCAGCTTTCAAAAAAAAATACAATGGTTGTAAATGTAAGCATACACACAACTCCATACCCCTTAAAATAAAGCTAAAAGTCCATTCCCAAAGACATATACTGAAAAAAAAAAAAAAAAAAAAAATCCCAAATCACAAAGCTCTGAAGTGCAGTTGCTTAAGTGCCAAAGCATAGTTTGCATTTACTCAGCAGTGGTTGGGCAGAATGACGCAACCTGCAACATGGAGCATGTTTGTTCTCCCCCTCTAGCTTGCTAGCATGCTGCTTTGTGCCTGCGAGGCTGCAGGGACCTTGCGCGACTCCTGTTTGTTGCAAGGGCTGCCAGAGCTGCCTTGTGGGTCTTTTGGATTGCGCAAAAGCTTCTGGGAATTGCAGAGAAAGCTGGGAAGTGCAAACTGTGCCTCGCCAGCGAGTAGAGGATAGTTCAGATCAAGTGCTGTGTTTCCGAGGACGTCTCAAGAATTTAGGGGAAAGGGGAGAGCAGCTATAGGGCAATCTCTGAAATGTCAGTAGGGGAAACAGGTGGCCAGAAACCTTAAAAAAAAAGGGGGTTATACCTAAAAAAGCATAAAGTGAGAGGCTGTTTTTCCTGGAGGACTTCTGCAGATGAGGCAGGAGCAAAGGTGGGACCTACATGGCTGAGGGAGCGAACTGCAATGGGTGAAGGGGGGAAGCTTCACCATGAGTAGCTCTACCATGAGAGGTTTCATTTTTTTTTGTTTTTTGTTGAATAGCTGGGAATCAGATTAGTCAGAATTTTGTTCTGCCTACGTCTTATTTTGTGCTTCTCTATTTCTTGCAGAACCTATAACTGCATCCATCTCTTAGCTTATATTGATGAGATTTTGCTTTCTTTTGTGCATGTTATCTATAACCTCTGTTCCTTTAGGGTTTATTACACACATATTTTTTGCAAGAAGGGTTTATTACACACATATTTTTTGCAAGAAACTGGATCAGTGAAGCACAGGACAGAGGAATTTGCAATGACAGTAGGATTTTGAATGCAAAGGGTGGCTGGGTACAGGGCTGACTTAACACTGCCAACACCAACTCCAGCAGAGCCCTATTCACATATAGCACTGACTCCCAAACCTTTTGACCCCTGGGATATTACCAGTCCCCAAACTTCCTTGTATAGCCAGATCTAGCTGATAAATATCATTGGTTGCTCCTGAACATGCCTAGCTGTAGATCACTTACCATCAATGATGTTAAAAAATGATTTTTCCTAAAACAGTCATACTTGTCACTTCCAAATACTGATACCACACACAGTGCAGCTGCACTGTAGCCCTACAGGCTCCCAATCTGGGGATTTGCACTGTAGAGGAATTGTTTGCAGTGACTTTGACCTGACAGGAACTGAAGATGGGTTTACTATTGGAAATTACATCCCAAAACTGCTCCTCTCTGGGCTCAGAGAGACTGACATACACACAAAGAAAACACTCACCAGTCTCAGGAGAAGTTGTCTTCACAGAAAGAAGTTTGACTCCTTCTTTATCTGATTGGGCTCTGTTGAAGTCAGAAAACATTTAAGCAGACAGTCAGCATGCAGCTCAGCATATATGTTGGTCAGCCAAAGAAAACTAAGATTATGATCTGGAGGAGGAAGCACCTATGCCAGTCTACACTGGTGGGCTTGAAATGGGCTTTGCATGGGATCATGCGTAAGTCTTGGTGGTGGAAAACACCATATAGCAGTATCTCTGAAAACACCTTTCTCTTAAAGTTGCACAGCTCCAGGTTCAATCTAGTGCTCCACAGAAGAAGTACATCTGGGGGAAAAGATGGAGTAATCTTTTTTCTCTGTCAGTACAAGGCTTTTAGCCATGCTGAATTACAAGAAGGACCACTTCAGATGTCCAGGGAGTCAGGCTAGTAAGTAAATCAGCAGCCCAGATGTTGCTTTTGGTCATGCAAAACATAGAGGCCACAGCCAGACTCTATGGCCTCTAGTATATATCTTCTCATGGATCTTTCTTGCTTTCACTCTCCTGAAACTCCTTATGCCAATACTGTTTTAACTAAGCCTCTGCAAATGGATTAGTGGAGAGAAGATGGCATAGAGGAAAATTAAATAACGGGGGACATGAGAAAAAGAAAGAGAAAAATAATCCAGAATAAAAAACATTAAAAAGAGAGAAAACATGAACAAAAGAAGGGGGATGGGAAAGAATAGGGGGAAAAAACAATCAATGGGGAAAAAATTGAAAAAAAGATAAAAAAGACTGGGCCAATTGGCCCTGTGGCACAGCATAAGCTGTTTATCTGTTTCAAAAGGATCCCCTGCAAAACAGTTGAGAGCCATCACATTTCTATCCATGCTGGAACAGCTGCTTATCATGCATACAGGTGTACAATAACTGGAAGCGCATCACTTTCGACAGGATGTTTTTCTTTGGGGTTGCAACCGCTTATTATGGTTAAACAGAGAAAGATCAAAGAAAAGCTCATGCAGAATCTGCTGCATCCACAAGTGCCCCATGATAGATCTCAAAGCAATGAGAAGACAGGATTCAACCTACTGTTCAGTGCCGTTCTCTTGTCTCTCTGGAAGAAGGAACAAAGTTAATATCATTTTGATTGCTAGAACTCAGTTAAGTAAACATTTAGACATAGCTAGCAGAAGGCTTAGTTGTGATTTTGCAGCATTTTATTAAGTACCTTAACACAATCAACCAGCTTGAATGGTAATTGGTACTTTTCTAGTTCGTCCTCCCAAAAGATAACCACATCATCTATGAAAGTGAACTGATACTGCTCAAATCAATACTTCTGGAAACTAGGCAGAATGATACGTGACTTGTGCAAGAGCACAACAGAAGCACATTTTTCCCTGCAGCTCCCAAATCCCCAGGTAGCTGGCACAGAGGGGGCGAGCATGCAACAGTTCTCGAGTACATAACAACTGAGCTAAAAGATACAGGGTGGGGGGAGTGAGAGAACGAACTGCCAGACTGTACACTTGGGGGGGTTTAACCTGGCACAACATCTGAGAACAGAGTCTGTCATCCCCGCCGATAAGGAATGGATTTCTCCCCAAAACGAATCATATACTGAACATATTTTATTCTTATGTGCAAGTACAGGCAGATGGATGGGATTGAGGGGTTACATCAGAGACACGGAGCCAATTCTAGCCCCATGGCACTGGGCATAGGGCTCTCCATCGTGGGGGAAGCACACTGGATAGACTTGAACAAATCCTGCAGGAAGCACCACAGATCTCGATCTACTCTAGCTTCCAAGTGAATTTGCTAGTACTGTGCCTGCTGGCATTTGTGCATGGGGGAGGCTGGCAAGGAAATGTTCTTCACCTCTTATCTTTACGTCTTGAGTCCAAATATTCAGTAATTTCCTAAGCAAGGATCACACCTTCCTCTGTTTATCTGGGTCTGGTTTTCCATGTCATTGGCTAAATTGGTTGCGACACACTGTTTGCCTTGGTCTACAGCTTCAACACACTGTTGTGATTTTATATTTCCAAGGCCTGGCGATTTCACAGTTAAAGCTCTGCACAGGTCTCCTAACTCATGCCAGCTCGCAGGGAGAGAAAAACCACAGTCTGGATTCAGATCTGGGTTTTCACTTAATGGAGAATTACACTTGCCTGTGGCCCACTCGGGCAATTCTTTGAAACATTTGGGGAATGGAATTCAATGGAATTCCACCCCCCATTACCTTAAGTATTTCACAGACAGCAGCAAAACAGATACTGGCTTTAGCTGATCTGTCAAAATGACTGTTTCTGAAAATACTGTTTGCTCATACTGTAACTGGAAAATTTTACTTCCATATGTATGTATATATGTGTGTGTGTGTGTGTATGTATGTATACATCAGGTATTTCCTAAAAGAAAGCATTGATATTTCTTTGCCTGTATCTAGAACAGAGGTAAAATAAATATAGTGATTTTGTTAAACAATATCTCCAAACTTAGTTTTCACTGTCTTTTTCTATCTGATTGACTGATTGTGTTAGCACAGCTGTTTGTTAGCTCTTTTAGCTGCAAAAGCGTGAACAACAAGCTTTGTGGCGTTATATATTCTCCAAAAACCAGACACATTTTTGCTCCCTCTGTTCTTCCTACTGATTTTCAAAATGAAGTGTTACTTTCCTACTTTAGGTGAAATACTTTGAAATACAAGAAGCTTTCCTATCAGACTACTGCAACATCTATGGTTAAGGTAATCTAAAAAGACCCCAGAGATCTTTTAATAGCAAAAAGCACATTGATCTCTTTCCCCCCACAGAGAAAGCACACCAAATACCTGGAGTTTTCTTCTGGCACATTCTGTACAAAGCCACCAGTGAGAAGACAGAAAGGGTAATGACTATCAAGGTGATGACAATTGGCAAGATAACGCCTGCAAAAGAGGGAGATCATAGCGTCAGTTTGGGGCCAGCGTTGATGGCCCCCAAAGGTTTTGCGAAACAGTCATGTTTCAGGAATAAATTTTTGATATATGCAATTTTTTTTTTCCTCTTTTTTGAAAACAAGACTCATCTGAAATTCAGCAACCGAAGCGATTCTTTCTCTTTTAACATTGTACGCCCAGAAAGACACCAAGGAGTTACATAATTCAGTAACATTTCCCACAGCACTTACAACCAGGGATAGAAAATGCAAGATCTCCTTTTTAAATGAGGACATTTCTTTCCTTTTATTATTTCCCACCATCTGCCATTTCCTGACAGGTGTTTCCCAGCCAAGAAGCAAAAAGGAAAAAATTATGTAATGAAGAGAAGCTTTCCCGGGGAAATATATAAGCCCAGTTTCTCCCCATTTATCTTTTTTCTGGCAGTGATCAGCTACATTCAAATTTAGCAGGCGCTCGCTCGCCTGCTGGCCTAAGCTCTGCGTCGGGGGAGGCTGCGGCTGCATTCCCGCAGCCTTCCTCAGCATCAGCTGTCATGCCCGCCCGATATTTAGAAATAGCTTCTTCGATGGCTCTTGATGCAGTTAATATTTAATATTCATATAGATGTGTGTGTGCATCTATGGAACTACAGGGAGAACCCAGAGACAAGTTTACAGTGGAAAAACATCAAACATATTTCGCTAAGCCAGTACTTTGGGTAGGAAATAGCAGATCTGCAGCAACACTCTTGCCCTTGAGATGCATAATATTAAAATAAAAGATTAAGTAACATGCATCATGCAAATATCAAGTGCTTGAAGAGTTTGCAGGAGACTCCTTCCTAGACCTTCTCTCCCTTGACAATATGAACAATATATTCATATAATACATTTATAACAATATATTCATATAATACATACTCATAACGGTATATGAACAACATTTTCATATGTTTTCTTGTGTCTTCTCCCACAGAGGATGACTCTGTTCACATTTTTTTTCAGTTTTATCACTTCAACTTCTTTCCTTGGGAATAAATGTGCTGCTCTCCAGTGAGAGTGGTGTCAACTCGTTAAGCTCTGTTTCTCTTTGAGAGGAGTTTTATAACAGGCAGTTAAATTGGGTTTGTAATAGGGTCTACATCTGGTAAGGCTAGAAATAAAACTGCCAGTTTCATTCCTTTGCTACTCCAATCACTCATCGAAAGCCAAACTGATCAACTGAAAACTCAAAAGCTGGACAATAAAGCAGGAACACTCACTGGAATAGTGGATAGCACTCTCTGGCACTTTCTTGTTTCCAGAACTGCTTCCAGGACTGCCAAAAGCTAGATTTGCAAAATAAATATTGCCTCTCAAGTTAACATGTAATTGCCAGAACTCCCCAAACAACTCGCCCTGAAAAATCACCCTCCCAAAACAACTTCTGTGTCCCCAGTTCTGGAGCCATTTGGTGCTCCACAGCTATAGTTATTCTCAATAATACCTGAATAAGTTGGCAAGAGGGGTGGAAAAGTTTATCTAGTGTGGCCTAGAAGAAACACACACTTTGCATGGGTGCAGTCTTCTCTAGGATCATCTGCTTGTCCACTTACAGGTTATGAGCTACAAACTTATTCACTTTTAGGAGGTTAAGATACTGTTCAACATTAGAAGAGATCTCTTAACAAGCAAATAAACAAGCAAGACAGTGAAAATTAGACCTGCCTCCAAAAGAAGAAAGACCAAAATTTTTCACTGCTAATTAAAAAAAAAGTGCCAATAGTAGATGAAGAAGTCTAAAGAGGTGCAATACTAGTAGCTAGCAATTTTCTTGAGACTTGAGTGTTATAAAGGGATGCACGTGCTCCCTCTCCCACATTTGGGGACAGCAATGACTGTTGGGAGCCTCTGGGTGTCTTTTAGGGCAGGGTTTAAAGGCATGAATTTCTACCTTCAGGTGCTAATCTGAATTTGAGTCAGGTATCAACAACCCGAGATATTATTACTTCGTTGCATACAGTCTGTGGAAAAACAATCACTGAACTTCAAGAGAGAAAAAGGAAAAAGCAAACATCGGTGCTTCCCTAGTTACATTATACAGCACACAGGATTGTATTCCGTGTTGGACGGAGGCTTGAGCAGACGTGTGCTTACTGCCACTGAAGAAGCCGACCAGCTGGACAAATGGATAGCTAGATGCCTAGCATCGAAGTTGTAATGCAAGGCCGAGCATTTCCATTGCTCATTCAAACATCAGAAATGGCTCTCAAACAAAGGCGCCTGGGGCAGGTGGTCTGTTAAGCAGGGGGCCTAGTAGAGAGTATAGCTCTGTACATAAGTAGCGAGAACATGGTAGCAGCCACTGAGGCTCTGTTCCAGGCTCTGATCCATTGCTCAGGTACCCATTCATACCCCATACCCTTGCAGGGATGCACAGAAGAGGGCTCAACTTGATGGGTAGAAACTACAAAATTAGCTGGGTGATTAAAACCAATTTCCTAAGGCCATTTGAGGGCTAGAATACAATTTTGTTCTGCTAAGTCTCTGAATGACAGGTCCATCTTTTTTACAGATGGATTTTTTACTTCTTTGTATAGGCAATACATGTAATTCCAGTTTGCTGAATTAGAGTAACAAACAAGGTTTGTTTGTCCCAACCCTCTAGGGGTTCCTTGCTGCACTGATTTTAAAAACTCAGGCCCACTATTGATAAATGTTTTGGTGATTGTTTTTTCTCCACTATTCTCCTTTTGCCCATATTCCCATTCTCACAACATACTGGTCTGTTCAGATATGTAAGAGTACATTGTCTCCTGATGCAAGAGGAGTAAAGCAGGCGACAGCCAGGGGCCAATTTCTCCATAGGTTTGCTGGATATGCCAGTATACTGGATTTTCCAGGTAACTAGGAGCCACATGGTCCTACTTAAAAATTTATGTGGATTGACTGGTAGTGCAAAGGGAAAGATTTGAGAGAGCTGTTTTCATTTTTGTTCTGCTGTTGTGTAGCTGTGTGAATTTGGGGCAGATTGTTTAGCTTCTCTGTTTCCTTTCCTCCCCCTTCCCTGCTCCCCGCTTCATTTGTCTGGCCAGAGACTGAAACCTCCTGGGGAAAATTGATCACTTACTACGTGCTTGTGTGGTGCCTAAACAATACAGCCACAGCTGAGACATTCTGATGCTACAGGGTAGGGAACAATCATTGTCCGAGACCCTTATCTCTGAAAAATCACTGTTTCTTTAAAGCAGAAGTTCTCTCTCTGTGGTGCCTGTCTGCTGAAGGGTGATAATGTAAGGATGGAAACTGTCAGCCATCATCAAGTGACTGAAATAATTCTTATGAATTCGTAATTCCATGTGATTGCTTTAGATTTCCCAGGGAAATACTACTGCCCTTTTCACTACCTTATCTGATATACTGCATGATATACGGGGCAAGCGGCAATTATCACCGCAATGAGTTATCCTGGATACTGACTGAAAATGCCAACAGAAACAAATTACACTGAAAAACGTGAATGTGTATCCCTGCAGTTGTGCAGCATCTCCTCAGGAGAAAAACTGAGGATACAAATTCCCTGGTTATTTTCCTATTCTCTGTTAAATGACCAAGATGTGAGTAATGCAGGAAAGACAAATCCATAGGTTAGCATTTTAACTACTTGAGACCATCAATGAGAAATACAGTAGCTAAAAGGAAGCGCTACTGAATGAATAAAATGGATTAAGGAATTAAAACCTTTAACTCAGTTATCCACTGCATTCACTGAAGTTTCTCACAAGCCAGCCCATCATGTCTTTCTCTGGATCTGCAAAGTGAATCTGGAAGATATTTTCCAGCTATGGAATGATCTGGGATCAGAACAACAATTGGAGTAATACATCCATCGTGGGTAACAGGAGGGACAAACTTTTGCTGGCAGCAGCGGCAAGAACTGCAGGGACCGGTACAGAAGAGACTGTTTCCTGATAAGCCCAGAGAAAGGAAAATAGGACAATACAGGTTCACTAGCACAGGAAACTCTTGCCTTACTCTGGGACCTGCTGCTTCTGACCACGGGACGAGGAATGAGAGCCACTGACAAGAACAAGCTCCTTGGTAAACACTCTATTTATATCAATTTCCCATTGCATCACGCAATATGCCAGGCCTGATTTTTTTTGTGCTCCCACCCTGTTTTCTTTTCAGTATCTGCTAGTCCAACATGGCATTCAGCTGAAATCACAGCAAAGTTACTCATTGCTACAAGCTGAGCATCACTCCTCTGCTTCTCTGTACTACTTCAGGTTCATTCTTACCCCAGAGCCTCCTTGTTCCCTGAACATTTCCTTTCCTCAGGCTGCCCCCTCCCGCCCCACGCCAGCCCCTTTTGCCAGTGTGCACACAGCTCTTACTTGTCGATTCTGTCAGGGAGCTCACATGAAGGCCTGCAATAAAACAGAAGGAACAGGTTTGTTAGTAACTGTTTTTAGGTTAGACGTCCGGAGTCTTCACATCATACAAACCGGCAGACTCTAGCAACGTGCTCAGTAACCCCACAAGAAATGCTGACCCAGAACTGACACGCTGACACTGTTCCCAAGCCCAGAAGGTCTGAGCTATGAAAGTCTGCAGGCATCCCTTATAGATGGGAGCAGAATCCAGAGCACAGCCTACGCTGGGTTGTTATTCTGCTTAAGAGAAGAAAATCCTGAATTAATTGATACATTCCTAAAAAATTCCTCCTGCCAAAACCAACTAAGTGCCTGGAAGTTAATAGCTGGCATTTAACTGACAAATAAGTGCTTTAATAAAAGAACCTCAAATGCCTAATTGAGACATGTCTTCAAGTGTCACAAAACCCTTTAAAAATGAATCTTCATTAATTATCTTGGTGCTTTTGGCTAGCAGACTGCCAAGCAGCAGGAGTAAGAGGCATTGGTAATGAAGAAGTGGACCCTGCAGGTGAACAACGCTTACTGGCCCACTACTGTCAGCTTCTCCTGGCCACTTCACAAGTTTTTGGTGCAGAACACTAATTTTTTGTTAGCTTTTTGTTAGTATGCTGCTGCTTTTGTGTGTCTAGACTGTAGCACGCTTGGAAATTAAGGTGACTGTGAATACTTCACATTTGGAGGCTATCCACAGACAGCCATCGCTCCCACAGTGATTTTTATTACGTTGCATTAAATCTCTTCTGCGATCCCTCTAAAGTCAAAGGGAGCCGGGCACCTAACTCATCTGTGTCTGAGAATATCCACCTGTGTGAACTGGCAGTAAAACATTTATCTGTTTGTACAAGACAGACTGTTTCTTGCCAGGGGCGAGTGACTGGCACCCTGCCCGTCTGGTGAGGCCTCTCACACCGGATTACTGGAGCTACCATGGAAAAAAATCCCTCAGGCACTATATCCTCAGCAGTCGCTCATTATTTTGAGGTATAAATCACAGCATTTGGTCACCTTCCTCTAGGCTGGAGGGCACCATAAAAGCCCCCTCGTTGGGTCTCTTCAGGGTTCACGGCTGCCAAAGCATCTGTAGGGAACATGGTGCATCTCGCCCTGTCCCAAGAGCTCCCTGGGAGGACGTAACCCACCAAGATGTCCTCCAAATCCTCAGGCTGGGAGACCGCAGAGGGAGCGGCATGAAGGCAGCGATAACTCCAGGCAGGCATTGAGCCTCGCCCCTGAGTGCCCGGGTTGCAGCACTCCTCCTCTGACCGCGGTCCCCGGAGAGTACAAATCCACTCTTAGGCCCTTGCTGCACTTTCTGTGCTGTGGACAGATGCTTCGCACAAAGACAGCCCCTATCACCGGAGCTGTAACATGAGTGAAGCACATTATTCTACTACTGTGAATGTACTCTTTGAAAACCAGAATGGCTGCTCTTGTTTTAACTCCTCTCTACACCCAATTAAAAACATGGATCACTTGAACCACTGGGGTGCAAATAACCACTTTCGTTAATGATATATGTGACAGAGCTTTTACTGCATTTTAATCACAAACATGCATGAAAAGCATGTTCAGGTTGAAAAGCCAAGTACTTAAAAGTCAGTAGTAAGAGCTCTTCTTCAGCATATTATATATTAGTAATGCTAAGTACTCTGAAGATATACAGTTATCTCACCCTGGATTCCTAGGGTGCGGAAGAGACTTTTTTCCTAAGCTTTTTATCATCTGATCAATCCATCTGCAAAAAGCAGTGTCACCTTGCTCAGAGAGGCTCTCTGTGATGATTCGTTAGGCAATGTTTATAGCATATTTGGGCAACATTAATGACAACAGCCAAGGAAAAGCTTTTGGGAAGCCGTCTGTCAAAGGAGGTTTGGAATGACACACAGTACAGAATGCATCAGGACACATACCTGGCATTAAGAAAACATCCAGATATGATATGATTGCTTGTTACCCAAATACTGCCTTTTCTTCAGCCTATAAGGAGTGGGATCCCATGGAAAAAATACCATGTGATCACACAGCAATGGTTGAACAAGCAAACGGTAAAGCCCTGTGTGTGCATATTCTCGGAGAAAGGCAGAAGGCCTTGTCAAGTCTTACAAATAGGTCACTTCTCTATAAAACTTCAAACCTTGTCTCTCCAAGCTGAGGAGAGCTTTCCTAAGAACGCCCCCCCCCCCGCCAAGATTATAACATAATTATATATTTTCCCTTAACTTCATTCCTGCAAAAAAAAGTGAACGATCTTCGCTCAAATCAGAGCAAATAAATAAATAGAAAAAGTATGTCAAGCCTGAGACTGATATCCAAGTTCACCCCAAATACTTAAGGTTTGTCAAAGCTGTATGCAGGTGACGTTAGGCTCTGTGAACAGGAAGGATCGGGTGACCTGCGGGTCAGTACCTGCTGGCACAACCAAAACCCACACTGCTGTCCTGGCCAGACCTCGCCACTTCAATAAACCCAGACAGCAGAAATGATCCCAGATAGGAAACATGACACAGCCCCCTACCCTTCCTTCAAGGACTGTCGGAGCCTCCTGAGCTTTTGTTATTTTTTAAAAACTGCACACATCTACACACAATAAAACTGTAAGCATCTTTCCCAAAGATATCTCACCCAGATTCTGCTAGAGCATGAAAAATTAAATAGGAAAAATCTCGTGCCCTTCTCTCTCTCCCCCCATCTCCAGTATGCAAGCAAGGCGCCAGCTCACCCTCTGTTCAGAGATTGTTCAGCCCTGCCACACAAACAAAGCTGTGCTTATCGGTTGACTTTCAGTGTGCATTTTCTAAATAACCATCCAGTGCCCTTTTTGGTGGTGGGATCACACGCTTCTGTTCTACAGAAAGAGAAGGACAGAAGGAATGGCAGCATTTCGCTTGCTAACTTAGTTACCGTAGTTGTTCTAGCTGCCTGTTCAGAGCTTACCACATCCTTTGGTGCTGCGAGTTAGGGGGCACTCTGCATAAATAATCTGGGAAGAGTTCCAGATTCATCATGAAAAGTGAGGTGTGCAACACTGGCTGTGCTGAGTCCTTGTTGTGCAGTAAGGAGGACAAGGATAAAAAATTTGGCACATGACGGTGGTTTGATTTGAAAATACCTGGCTGAGTCAGTTCAGCGCTGGTTAGAAGCTTGACAGATGGAGAAAGAGACCAATAACTAACCTCTCCCCACTCTGTTCTCCAACAACCACCACCTAAGCAGCCTGGATACCCTGCAGTTTGCTGCTTCTGTTTTTGGAGGGCAGCCACATGAAACTGTGTTCACTGGCAAAACAAACGAATAAATTTGGCTGATTACTCAGAGGGGATACCACAATATAAATCAAAGCAAAATTAAGAACTTTTAAAAACCCTCCTTGCCCTGACCATGCTATAGATCTGTAATTGTGTTAACTGAGGCTTTGCTGTATTTTCTATCTCCCAGGCACTTCGATTTTTGTGCTCCCAGGCACTTTCCCTTTGTGAAGAAGCTGAAGATACGGTGGGTAATTTTTACCTAATATCACTGTCCATAGTTCCTACACAGTTTGTGAACAGAGAAAGTCAAACCCTCCTTGTCTTACTCATAAGAATTTTTCTTAGGGAGATGCCTCCTGTGAATCAAGTGAGTAGGATTTATAATTGGAAGAGTGCAATAAAGATATCAATAGATGCAGCAGGTTGATTCATCTGACAGTTTATTATAATAGATCGTTTGATCTTACCACCCTGCTGGGTGAACTTAAGCTCATACTGCTTTATGGATTTTTGTTGTTTAGGTCACAGAATAAAAAGCTACAATACTTGCAGTTTCTGAGATGTATTTAGACTCTGACTGATCCATTAAATCTCCAATTTTTCATTAATTAAACAAAAGGAGAAAATTAAATATTAGCAAGCAATCCTCTGTGGAGGTGGAGAATGAGTAGGAGGTATATTATACCTGACAGCCAAAGTTAAAGTTAAAAAAGTGTATGTGTCAATGGCACACAAGCAAGTTGCTCTCTTTGCTAAAAGCAGTCCCTATTGCCTTCTCTAGCCTGGCTAAGCGCTACACAGCCCCTCCTCCGTGGCTGGTGGTTTCAATCTTCTTTAATACAGCAATACTGTTTTCTGATGTTTCTCCAAGTTCTTTCCTAGGCTCCCCCACTCATTTCAGTCGCTCTCCAGCTCTCTGTGGCACTCCTCCCACACTCTGATCTTTTGATATGGCTGATTGGAAATTTCTCTTCAAAATGTGCTTTTTCCTTTTTCTGCAGCAAGAAAGGAAATTTTCACCAAAATGGCATTTTTTAAAAAATGGAAAACGGTCTCAAAACTAAATATATTCTTTTGCATTGAGGTTAGCCAGCTGAATCATTTTGGTTGAGCATACCAAATAGAAACGTTCTGTTTTGGATCAATTTCACATTAATTTGTCTTCCCCTGAGCTCCCACACAGAAGCTGTGGCTTGGGTGCCTTCAGCTTGCAAGCTCTGCTATCCCCTGTGGGCTGCAGCACCAGCCCCATTGCTCATACCAGCCTCTGCTCTGGTGAACAAAAGGTATCCAGCCCCTATAGAAGCCCCTGAATGTGAAATTTCAAAGAGCTGGAAAGAAATAATCTAATGGCAGTGAGAGAGTCAGCATTTCTTCTAGTCTCAGCACAGAATGAAACAACTGGCTTCACACTTGCGTTGCTTTAAAAGTTATTAGGGTGCAGCATATGGCTTCTCTTGGCCCTGAGCGACTGCACATAGGAGAAAAAAATCTGTTTAGAGGGAACCAAAACATTTTTTCTTAAAGTCTTCAATGTATACAGAGAATAAGGGAGCAAGGGTGGTCTAAAGGTGCACCCATTTGGGATAAGCTACCTAACTCATCAGGGTGAGTGATGGGATTTCTTGCATATTTAAGCTGCAAGAAAGAAGCAAGGAGCTGGTGCTGTGAGGAGACAGGAAACGTGTAAGCGTGGTAATCCTGGTGCTTTCGTGATTTTGAAATGGCAGTTTTATGGGAACTCAGAGTGCTGGCTATGCCAAGCACCTAGACTGACTCCCCTCTGGATAGATGGCCCTTTCTTTCGCAGCCAGGCAATTATAGTCCTGGCATCTTGGGTAGTCCCGAAGCTCAAGAAGATTTACTGGTTTTACAGCAAAGCGAGCTGAGTAAGATGATGACTTTCGCAAACAGACACAAGGAAGGTTGTAAAAGTTTCTGGGCAAATTTTAAATGTAAAAAGTAATTGTACAAAAAATGTAATAGGTAATTCAATACATAGCCCGATATGTATTACAATTTCATTTTAACCTGGAGAATTTACCTATGTGAGACAACCTTTAATTAAAAACATTGTAATTTACTGCTTTATTGCAGTCTACCAATGGTAAGGTTTCCATACCATGCACGTGTCTGCCAAAAGACACAAAACCTAACAGGATAATCATAGAATCATAGAATAGAATAGTTTGGGTTGGAAGGGACCTTTAAAGGTCATCTAGTCCAACCCCCCTGCCGTGGGCAGGGACATCTTCAACTAGATCAAGTTGCTCAGAGCCCCGTCCAACCTGACCTCGAATGTTTCCAGGGATGGGGCATCTACCACCTCTCTGGGCAACCTGTTCCGGCGTTTCACCACCCTCATTGTAAAAAATTTCTTCCTTATATCTAGTCTAAATCAAGTAACTACAGCTCACAATATGTGCATTATGAGGCATAGGTTTATTGAAATAATTGCAAAGAATCCTCTCTAAACCAATGGCCCTGGATTACAAATTAAAAAATCCCAACTTCCTTAAAATGCCTATTATTATAATATCTTTTTGCATGCTTCTAAGCATTTCAGTGTGTACTGAGCTTATGATATTACTCCACTTTTATATCCAATCCTATCCTCTATGAGGAAAAATCACAGTACACGTGCGTACTTATCTCCCACAAACACAATCCAGAAGTTGTAAGAAAAGTCTTGTATCCCTTGGGGGATGTTAAACATCAATAATAATTGGGATATGCAAACGAAGTCAGTGTCCTTATTGGATTTACACACATGTAGCTGAAAGTAAGTACTGAGTGAAGTGAAGGCTCAAGGGACCTTAAGAAAACCTGAATAAGTGGTTCTTCAAAATCTAGGAAAGTTATGCCAGCTAGAAGCTTAATAACACCACAGTGTTGCTTAGCGGATAAATACACCAAAACACACCCAGAAAACCAATAAAAGTAGACTGGAGTTGGGAAGGATTAATATCTTTTTGACCCTGCATGTGATCATGTTGTACTTTGAACAATGTCATTTAATTGGTAATATGCATTAACTTGCCCTCCAGAATTATTAACAATTGTAAAAATTACAGCTGTTTTCTCCTTTGTCTCCTTTGCTTTGCAGCCAGAAAATTTGTCTTGATGACCTCCTCTGGCAGTCAATGCTACACAATGGCCACATACAGCATATATAAAGATTGATATTATCTTTTGTAATTTATATCCTCCTGTAATGACATTGAGTATCCCAACTGAACGTTTAGAAGTTCACCCATCATTCATCATAACTTCATAGCTAGATGACATGGACACAGCGTACCCTGCATGAATAAGGAGGTGGCTCTCATTCCGGGACAATGCACAACAAATGAAGAAGAGATTCGAAATTCTTTGCATCTTTTTAACTGTTTGTAGAGGAAAATAGAGCGTATGTTTTCAAAACTTACCTGACGTTCCAGGAGCAGAAGTGGTTTTTTGTGGAGAGATTGTAGAAGAAAAAGACCATCCCTTAGTAGATGAAGCATCCAAACTCTCATTTTGTGCTAATTGTGTTCCACTTGCTTGTGTAGCTGGAAATGAGACAGATGTTCAGGGAAGATACACCTGTATAAGCATTGTCTTAGATCCTGGACCATCCCTCAGACAAACGCTCCCACCATCATAGAAGAGACTTGAGGTCAGAAAGAACTACAGCTTCTGGTAACTGCTTGTCAAGTGATGAACCATCCCTATGGAGTTGTTACTACTAGCATCTTTAAAGCACATCCTAGCATCAAAAACAGCCTCACAGCTGTGCCAGAAGACAGCCTCGAGCTCTGACTTGGGAGCCCAGAATAACTAGACAGTCTCGCACCAAGAGCAACATGAGCAGAAGAGAGAAGCTCGCTTACTGCGCTCTATCTTTAACCTTCATTTCAAAATAAATAAATAAATACAAAAAGCAAGCTTCAGCCACAACTGTCACATAATGTGATATTGTAAAAAGTTTTAGGGATTGTAATTAAGCACAGAGTTAATTATTTCATTCTGTGCTGTTAGGGCCTAGGAAATAATATATCCCTGAAAATTAATGTACGAAAAATTAAAGGGTCTTATTTCTGCTCTCACACAGTCAATAGAGGATCAAGGCCATCTGTGTCACAAGATATGCAGCCTAAGGTGAGTCCAAGATGATGGTGCAGGGCACTGCCTAAGCCCATGGAACTGAAGGTCACCGAATGACAACATGAAAGAATTTAAGCTGTTCCAGCACAGCTCATAATTCTTACGTCTATGCTCAAACCTCAGCATAACAACAGGCAAGACAGTGCCTACTGAATAAAACATAGGGGTGCCCTAGAATAACCTTATACTTCCTTTCTGATATAAATCAGAGACGTGACTGAGCTGTAAATTGTTTTCAGTGCCTCTTCATATGAATTTCAAACACTGGAACTAAAACAACTTTAAGACATGTTTTAGTCAAACGAGTGCAACATCATGCACATGCAACATGTGAATCTTGAGGAATGCTTCATCACACGCTTTATTCAGAAACTCTGATTACTTGGCCCTTCAAAGAACTCAAGAAAAAAACGTCAACACCCAAAGCTCCCTATTCTACCACCACACACCTTTAACTTGGCCCTTGCCTTCCCCTCTTATTTATTAAGTGCAATACCTTGGAGAGGCAAGCTTCAAAAATCAATGAGCTAAGAAAGAGTGAGCTGAAGCTGCTGGAGTCAGGGGATTCATACAACTTTGGGAATTGAGATGTGCTGGACAGCCAGGGATGGTATCTTTGAAGGTCAAGGCATGGAAGGAAACCGTACTGAAAATTATGCAAAACAAGCTTAAATGCCTAAAACTTTCACTGGGATTCTAGTAATGAGAAGCATGATTTCACTGTCAGCTCCCTCCAGAAACCTCAGCACTGTACCCCTTCAATATGCAAGCCTAATCTGCCATAGAGATGCTCTACCTCATTTTTTACTATGGTATAATGCAAGGATCTGAGAACTTTAATAATTCCTGCATTCTCATCACAGAAGCCTTGAATGAATCTTTAAAAACAAACTTTTTCCACTTTTGGTTCTTACTGTGGTTGCTTCAGACTCAAATTTTAAATGTTGAATTTTAATCTGAGATCAATTAAAAAAAAAAAGAAAAAAAAAGAGAACCTCCCTCTCCCTTTAAGATGCATGGGCTTGTAACAGTAACAGCAAACATCTTGTGGCTTCCTTATCATAAGTTAGGAAAAGCTTGCATGGGAGAATGAAAAGGCAGAATAACAGTAAGCCTTCATGTGCAGAGACGGTCGAACACAAATACACTTTGTGAACACTGCAAAACAATCAGGTGTGTGGGAGAGACGAGAGAGGCAGCCAGTTGCCTTGTAACCCGACGGAGAGCTGTTTTCCCATGGGGATCACATGTTCCAGGCGTCCTATCAGTCCTGGCAGCAGCCCAGCCCCGGGTGCTCCTCTTGTGTTTGGGAGCTGCAAGAACAGACTGATCTTGGGAACACGGGCTGTGAGCTGGATATGCCTCGGCAGGGGATCGCGAGGGGAGGGATGATAGCATTTCCATTTAATTTTTTTTAATTCAGCCCGGGTGAGATTCTTACTGTGACTCGGGTAGCACCAGGTATGACTCACGCCTTCACCTAGGGCTTGGTGTGAAGCTTTTTGCATTTATTTCGGCAGACTGCAGAACAGGCTCCCCGCTCCCAATGTCAAGGGGCGAAATAGACGTGCTACGGTGCAAAAGTCTGTGTGCCAGTTTTCACCACTTCCAAGATGAAAAACGCAACCTGGTGGGGAAGGTTCCCTTAATTCCACTGTACTAGTGTAAGATTAAATCCTAGCAACCCAATTCTCTGCTGACTTGAGGCTTTGAAGCGGCTTTTAAGCAGCATCCAAGCCTTACGCCTAATACACAGCATAGGCTCTACCATCAACACATTTAGCAGATCGAATAGCTTCTGTGCCAAAAGCCTATGGGAACAGAAGCATCCATATCCAGCCACTGCTCACGTACGCGACAGCAGCACTGACAGCACAGTACGCCTGCTAGAAATCTGCCTTTTTGGTAAATCCCATAACTCATATCTATGCAAGGTTTAATTTGATCTCAACAGAAGCAGACAGCGCAAATCCCTACTGCGGTGCCTGTGTTCTGCACGGGAACAGGCGGGGGACTCTGCGCGGGCACACGGTGACTCAGTTCTGCCGTCCCCACTGACAATCGCTGCAGTAATTCATCACACTTCGGCTCAGCCAGCTGCAGCAAAGATTTCTGCCTGCCTGGCAGGGGGAGGCCTGGGCTCGCAGAAAAGCAGCACAGCAGAGGAGGGCGGCTGCTGCTGCTGCTGCAAAAGCACTCACATCATCAGTTAATGGGTTTGTTGTCAACAGCTGATGATGAATAAAAATGGTAAAGCAGTAAAGATAGTAAAATAGCTGTCCGAATGGGCCTTATTGCTGCAGCGGCAGAACTCCCTGGTGGTGATGCAGCTCTCTCTGCTGATATTTTGAGAAGATAAATGACAGTGTGTTAACACATATTTGTCAAAGGGATAACCAACAACAGGGAACCTGAAGCTGCTCTGCAAAGCTGCTGTCTGAGCCTCAGGTATTTCCTTACTCTGTTTCTGAAAACCCTTAATTTTCTTTAACCAGCTGAAATTCGACACATATCCTCACTTGATCTTTCTACTTAACCTACGTATAATCCACATATATTCTGGCATTTCCCAACAGTACTTTAAATTTTCTTTACAGCAGGCTGTTACCTAACTAGCTTTGACATGCCTCAAGTAAGTGGCAAATACTCTGCATAAAATATATGCACTGCAAAGAATATAGACATCTGTACGTGTGTTAAAACCTTACTTGGCCAATCAACAAATCAAGGAAACACCTCTACAGGGCAGAAGGAACTGCACCCAAACCATGCTAAACATCAGCATGAGGGCTTTGTAAGATGGAAGACTAAACCTTCTCCCTTGAGCTCGTATCTTTAGCATAAACACACATACAGGCCTCACCCCTGTAATCAATAGCCTGAGAAACCATTTGCATTAACAAATGCATTCATGAAAGCTTTGAAAAATCCCAATGTAGCAAAACCAATGCAACTTCACGCCCATTCAGAGGAATGGAAATTGGCTAGGGAGGTAACCAAGCAGATCTCAGTTGCATTTGCTGTCTGCCAGCTTTATATTTTCTGGTAAGCAAAAAACCCCAAGTATTTCAAAATGTATGTTTTAAAACATCTCTCTGCCTAACATGTCTCAGCAGCCAACTATACTCAGTGTTTACCTACAACACGTGGTAATGACCTGAAGACAATTGAGCCATATCTGTTACCATAACCTTCTTCTGGTAGTTTTACTGAAGTAAAGCTTCCTTCTTAATTACCAGTAGTTTGATAAAAAGAGAAAAAGTATCTTTTTTCTTGCTTTTTAATATTTAATATTTCATTGCACCATGATGTATCATCATCCAGGAGAGTGGCATGAGATAAATTAGAAACACAACACCCAAAAATCCATTCTTACTTGTAATTTAATACCTCGAGCACTGACCTTGCGTAAGAGGCTTGCTCCATATCCAAGGGAAGAAGAACATGATCTTTTGTTGCATTTCATTGCATATTCTCTTTGATAACTCCAAGTGTCCCAGGATATGAAATCCTGATTACAGATGCAACTTGCTGTAGTATGGCACCATATAAATTCTTGTTTCGGGGCTTGGACTGCACAAGTGAGGTCACTTTTTTGACTAAATGTGAGATATTGGATTTGAGCCCTTATATTAATAAATAAGAAGGTTAAGGAGACAAGTCCAATTGCTGGCTTCCAATATAATAAACAGGGCAGGAGGGCAAAGAGGGAGAGATTGTACTTATGGCCTGCAGAGAAAAAGAATACTGAAGACTTTGAAAAAAAAAGACAAAGTCATTTGCATGATTTCACAGAGTGTGGAGCACTGGAGGCTTTTCCTGAATTTATAATAAAAGGTGACAGCAGCCACAGAAATTGCAGCGGAGACAGGAAGCCCTGTCAAATCTCTGCTGTGTGAATGCGATCACTCACTGAAGCTTTTAGCAGGGATTGAAGCAGAGAAAGCGATGGCCTCTGTTACAAAACAACAGAGGCGCCTGCTTTTTATTAAAAATCAGGTGTAGTAAAGGTAAGTTTTGAAGTGTCATAAAGGCACTGCCAATTTCTGCCTCCGTCCCATATGGCCAGCCCAAAACGGGGGAGAAGTGAGTGCTAGTGAAAAAGAAAAAGAGAGAGTAGACAACTTTCATCTCCTGTCCATTTTGAGAACAGAAGTCTTGCTACACCTGTGCTCGCTTCGGGGAGCGTGACTCCCCCAGCCCTGCGCTGCTGCTGGGGATGCTGGCAGTGTCTGGGAGGGTGCAGTGAAGCCAACGGCACCTCGCCGTGCCAATGTGTGGGGTGGAAACAGAGAGATAGCTGTAGCCAGCAGCCAGACGGTGGTTGAGGGGTCTGTGGGTTTTCTACAAGGGCTGGCCGCACATCTGCACAGCCCCTGTGCCCTGTCCCAAAGCCACTACCTTCTGTCCCGTCCCACCCCTTCGTGCTGAAGCGAAGGCCATGACTTTCCTGAAAGTCTTAAAAACCACTAAAATTGGTTTTCACATACACAGTTTTTCCAAATACTACTTAGCGTTGAAAGAAAATATAGTGTCTTTTAATGCAGGGTAGTTCCCAATGTCTTCTTTAATTTTCCTGTTTACAAAGGCGAGTGAGAGGCAGGTAAGCCCTGTTTTTAACCATTTTTATCACAAGTTTTGGTTGTTTTTTTTTTTTTAGCTTAAATGAGGATTTTTAAAAACAAATCACAACCCAAGCAACTAGGGACTGAACTCTAGCTGGAGGGACCAGAACACAAAAGGAATAGAAAGGAGGCGTGTTGGTGAAAACTTCACGCCCAGGCCCATCGTACCTCCAGCACCATCATACCTCCAGCACCAGTTTTTCAGGGCACCAGTGCAGAGCAGTGACTGGAGCTAAGCTGCACTAGCAGGTATGCCTTTCCTCATCAGTTTTCCTTTCCCTGCTGGGAGCTCTACCTGTCACCAAGGTTTATTTCCAGGTGGCTGTGCTGCTCTGGTACCCGCAAGCCAGGAACCTCTGCCAAACCAAAAAGACTAGGAATCACATCTGCGATGCTGCAGGCTTTTGACAGGCCCACAGTGTTACAAACGCAAGTTTAAAAAGATTCTTTGTGGCCTTCGGTATCACTTCAGCAGCTTGTGCATCGGCCATACTGTATCCTGTGACTCACCAATACTGGCATTTAGAAGCCAAGCCAAAACACAAAAGACTTCGGGCTGACAATCAGACTACTCCCTACACCAAGCATAGCGGGAAAGCTGCATCAGTAGAAGATGTAACCACTAACTGAAAGGGTAACTGCTCTCCAGGCAGCTTAGCAGGCTCGGGTCCATGAAGGGTAGCTTTAAAGGAGAATTTGCACAGAGAAAGCATGCAGGCTGTTTCATAGGATCCATTTTTAGGCAAGGAAACCAAGGGAAGAGAAGTCAAGTTCTAATCATTTGTCACAGTTCCGTATGCTCTAAATATCAACTCCGAGAACCTTGGTGTACCACTGACTGCTGAGTTAAATATCTGGAGTATTTCTTTCTAATTTTTTGAGTCAATTAAGTATAAAAAGTAGAGTATTTCAAAGCTCCGGTTCAGTAAAAGACTTGAGCAAACATTTACAGTGTAGTTCCTAAACAAAAAAGGGAGACTGAATTTCACCTTAAGTTTACTGAGCTCCTTTTGGATGTTACTGTACTTGTTTAAATTAATCCAACTACTTACTGGATATGTGGGATTTTTAAAAAAATTTTCTTTTTCTAGAATCCAATCTGATGCGCTGGGCCAACACACGTGTTATTCTGAAGATTTATGGGGAACAAAAGTATTTCCTAAGATTGATGAGGGTAATTAGTACACCTCTCTGCTTTCAGTACTGTGATTCATAATAATATAGAACATAATTAACTGTAGCATTGTAACATATATAAAAACAAAAAACAAAGGGGGCTGTTCTGACACTACTCTGATCACATAGAATCATTTGCTTTTGATGAAATACTTATTAAATAATAATAAAAAAAAACAAACAAAAAAACCCCCAAAACACAGAAGAAAATAAAAAATGAAAACCCTTCCAAATACATCTTTCCCAATTACAGGGAGATTCAAATCCTGTGTAATGGCTTCAGATCACCTCCACTACAAATTAAAGGTGTAATATTCTTTGTGTAAGATTCTAGGGCAAGATTCATTAAAGATATGTAATATGGTAGGATGAATAGCTCTGCTTCCCCAAACCTCCAAATCCATAAGTCAAACTACTCTTTTTGATGTCCTTTTATTGCTCCACACTGTTTTACAGAAATGTAGCATACAATAAATCAGAACTCTCTCAATGAAATTATCACTTACTGTTTGTTGTGCTGCCACTTTTATCTGCTGCTGTAGTGGTCATTTTTGCTGGTGGTTGCGTTGTTGTACCTTGTGTTATTTGTTGTGTAGTACTAGGTGAAGAAGGCGTGGAGTCTAATAAAGGAACGACATTCAAATTATTTCCTCAATTTTGTATACACATATATGCACACACACAAAACACACCTATTGTGCTGCCTGCAGCCTAGTTTTAAATTATCAAAAGAATATTTCATTTAAATTGAAGATCAACAGGAACAGGGCTCCCTTTGCTGCAGAGAAAGTCACTCCCTGTCCCATAGGTGGGTCATCTCATTGATGCAGTTACAAGGCCTGGCTTAGAGCTGCCTTGAGCCTGACCAGGAGGAAGCTCCTGCGCACATCTGCAAGATTTCACCAAAGAGTTCACTATCTGTAAAACAAATTCCCAAGCCAAGAGGCACTGCTGCTTAATTATTTCCTGAACGACCACTGGAACAGCATCAACAATTAGCTCAAAGAAACTTTCACTTACTGCTTGTGATGGACTCATTTGTAGCTCTGATTGCAGTTGTTGTCAGCACTGACGCTTGCAATGTTGTTGCTCGTGAAGTTGATGCGTTCACAGCTTCCGTTACTGCAAGAAAGGCATTCGCATCTTTATTGATTTATTTTATCATGCATAAATAAACGCCACATATCTCTAGCTGCCTTCTCTCACAAAGGCAGTGAATTTCTGTTTAAAGTCTGGCCCTTACAGAGCTTTCTTACCCACACATTTTTAAAGAGGATTCAAAGTGCGTATGGTTGGTATCAGAGGGAATGTTTGGCCTGTGGACAATCCACAAGTTGCCCACTGAAAGTCAGCAGCTGTAGCTTCCAGCCATCCCCTAAGGAAGAGGCGTATGCTCTTTGGGAGTTATACAGAGGTGCTTGGCATGACTGCCAAGGGAAGAGGTGAGGGGAAAGGAGCCTGGCGTGGATGGATGGGTTCACTGCACTGGCAGACTAGCACTTTGCTGCATACCTGTTTAATAGGAGGAGGGATGTAAACTCCTCAGAAAGAAGTGCAAGTAACTTATATATTACAGGCAAAGAACTGAAGGAGAAGAGACTCTAATAGTCTTTGTGCAATTTTTTCCTCCTCTTTCTGCATCCACCTTGAGCCCTGTTTGGATCTTCTTTGGCTAGCTTTCCCAGATGCTCTTCCTCTGCACCCAGATTTCTGAGGAAAAAAAGCACCCGGCAGGCCTTCCTCTGAGGTATGCAGCAAAGCTTAGGACATTTTGGATGAGATGAATAACTGATATTCCCCAGGGTGAACCTGGTGCCCTTTGTAAGGTGGCTCCTGCTAGTTCTTTTCTCCAGAGGGGTGAGATTTGGAGGCTGAGGGAAGAGGAAAGAGCTCCCTTGGACAGCAGGGATCACTTCCAGCTGCTGCTGGTACGGAAACAGGGGAGCAGAGTTGCCCAAACATTACTAAGGCAATAGCAAGGTTTAAATCAGTATGTCTTGCTGTCCATGGATGGCATACTGCAGGTCCTGTGTGCCCCTGGCACATGCTCAAGGGAACAGACTGGCAAATTGCTGCCGAGGGATCTGGGCTAAAAAACTCATAACTAATCATTTTAAGAGCCCAGTTTTCATTTCTGTAATCTAATACAAACAGAAAGTGCTACTGTCAGCTACAGAGGCTCATTTCAATCCTTGACAACAACCCAACGTATCCTACTACCTCTTCTAGCACTTTTCATGGATGGGAAACATGATAGAATAGGAACAAACCGTGACATGACATGTCATTTTCCCTCATATGACTTGAGTACTTCTAAATGCAATGTTCACACCAGAACTTTTAAAATATAACTTGTACTCTTTTCCTTCACTCTCAGGTTGCTGGCTGTTCACCTAGAATAGCAGTGCCTCAAAGAATGGACCTCCTTGGGAGCTTGCTCCACACCCACAAAGTGCTTTAATCTCATAGTGACCTTCTGATGCTTTTTTCATAGGCATGAATAACAATACTGCTTTCCCTTCCGTGACAAAAAGCTGCAAGAGAAATTTCAGTGAAACATCTGAAGAGCTCATTCACTGTGAGGTGTCAGGCCTTTATTAAATGTCTTTGAAACAGACATGAACATCAGAGTTTTTGAAACGTAAAAGAATTGCAGCACAATTTGAAAGGGACTAATTCTTCTGCTGTAATAAACATAACGTATGCATACTTCACCTGGCTGCATCTTATTCACCTCCATTACTAGCACTTCAAGTGTATACATCATTATCATCTCAGTGCTTTCAGCTCCAAAACAGACTCATTAGTATCTCTAGTTATCAAAAAATATAATCCTGTGTCCAAATTTTCTTCTCTCATCAATTCTCATAAATGCAGCAGTCTTCAATATTCAAACTAATAGAGGAGTTGATATTTAGCTCACATGAATGAAATATGGTCAATATTGATTCTTCCATAACTACAAAGCTACAAAATAAAGAGAACTGAATGTGTCAGTTGAAGATGTAAACCAGAATCACAGACTTTTACCATACGAAGCAGATATTTTCTGTGTGAAGTCTTCATAGTTTTAGGACTTTAAGTTTGATCTAGTAAAAACATTCACAAACAAAAGAGAGGGGAAGGCAGCTTTTGAAACTGAGGGCACTGGTGCCACCTCCTTACCCCCAAAAGTGAATCTTGACATCAATAGTTTCGAGAAGTTACCAATAGCATTTTTGCAAATGACAGCTTTATGCACATGTATTCTTTCCTATTAACTGAGGCCCAACATTGGCATATATTGTGTAAATCTTTACTGTTAAAGTCCATGTCCTCTTCTGTCACTCTACACCCTGCTGCCCGATCCCTTAACTGATGCTGTTTCCCTAATTGTTCTCAATCTGACGACCTCTTGAACTATAAGTTTTAGCTAATCTTTTAACATCTGATCACCCTTGAACCACTACTTGAGAGCATAGGAACTCACAGAATTTCAGCCTTTTTCACCTGAAACAAAAAATGCAGCCTGCTCAAATTAACCCTCTCCTTACTAAGATCCCTCAATCCTTTCTTCTCAACAGAGTTTTGTAAGAGGCCCAGGGAAATACATTGTTCTACAATCACCTTACATGAAATAATTCACCTAATTTCTCCCAGAAGTTGGAAAAGCTGAAAGCTAAAAAGGCAATGGGATCTTCAGAATACCAGATAACAGTGAACTTGAACTCTTACCAGATTTTGATGTTGATGTAGAAACAGTTGTACTGATGGTACTGGTTGGAATACCATCTTCTGAAATAAACACAGAAAGAATCATATTACTTCAGCCACCTTCCAGATCTATTTAGTACTACACAGGCATATAAGGCAGAGAGCAGCAAGGACCTTCCTGAAAATCAAGTTCAGAAGCCTATTAGCAGAAGCAACCAAATCATACAACTTTGCTAGCAACCTTCTCAAGCTGTATCCTAAACCTCTTCGCTTTGCTCTCATTGCTGTAATGGGGAGCATCTACTACGGCCTCCCCCCTTGGACTGCGGGTTGTTTTCAAACAGGTATTAGTGTCTCTAAGACTAGTTTGGAAAAAACAGAGCAAATAAAGGTTTTTTGCTAGCTCCTCCTCTCCCTGACTACAACCACAGTTGCTCTGGGTGTTCACATTGGAGGATTAACTAAAATAACTGGCTGCAGGAGTAAGCACCCATTCTCCTGCCTTGGAGGAACAAAATTGTACTAGCTCCCTGGCTAGTACAAGCACTTCAGGAGGGGTTTTCAGCATCACACTGATCTGCGACTGAATGGGAGAGCAAAATGGCACAGACTAATCCCCCAGAGCTTCCAGTTTGGAGTGTGACATCCTGTCATGCTGCATTACCATGCTGTAATACAGACATCGCAAAACTGAGTCAGGACAGCATGTCACTATTCTTGTGTGACTCCATTCATGGTAATATCTGCTGGCATTCTCTCTTTTTTTGGCTACAGGGCAGAACAGTCAGCTTTGTTCTCTTTGCTCAGGGTGCTGCGCTCCGATTAACATTTCAGAAGCACCACCCGGGGCCTGCCAGAGACACAGGTCTAACCTGGAAAAAAAGTAATACATAATACAGTTGCAGGAGCTCTGCAGGCACGTATTAAGGCCTAGTCAGATGAGCCCTTACCACTCCTCTTCAAGCAGCATGAGGTGTTGTCGGCCCTCTTGGCACCGTGCGCATCTCTAATGGGCCTCAGCTGGGTTGTGAGCCCCACTTTCTTGGGCATCTTTTCTAGGTACGCTGCTGCCTTCGCAATGCCTCATCACAGCATGTGCTGGCCCAGTTTGATACGGTATATCTCATATCAAATTAAATCAGTTTCCTATGGGCCTGCTGCTGCTGCCCCAGCCCTACTCCCCAGGACACATGAATACAGTCAGGCTATGCACAGCCCTTCGCCCAGTGCATTTAAAATACTGTTTTTCCTGCCATTTAGTTACCCAGTCAGAATAATGTTTCATAACCCACACTTGAAATACTTTGAAAACAAATTTTATCCAAATAGACCAAAAAGCAATCTTGTTTCCCTAAACAACGAGCATTTTTCCATCTCTTCATTCTCATTACAAGCTGCTGACAAAGCTCCTGTAAATCCCCATGCTACGAGGCCACAGCACTAAAACGGAATGTTTTTTCAACAGTGCCTATATTTCATATGGTTTGTTATAACATCTCTCAGTAACTACCATGTCTGTACCACCAGCTAAATGCACTAGCTGGCCAATTAGCTCATTCCCTAATTCTTCCCTTAACTCAGCATGACTTGTGGAAAGCCCATTGCAATACATGGATCATTCATGCTTTAAAGGTGTTCCATTTAATAACCATGTTGATAGGCCAAGATTTCCTCAAAACTAAAAAAATTGAGAATTTAAGTCACAGTTTTGTTAGGATTCACAATTTGCTGATTTTATCACAGTCTAGAGATAAACTAAGATAAATTTGATTAGCAGAGTAGAATAAAGTGGAGTTTTATAGAATCATAGAATCATTAAGG